GTTCTTGTGTCCACATTGGTATTAAGCTTAAATAATTCCTCTCTCCCTCCCTGGCATTTTTCCCTCTAATATTTAAAGAGTGCAATCATGTCCCCCCTCAGCCTTCTTCTGGTTAAGGTAAACAAGCCAAGCTCCTTGAGTCTCCTTTCATAAGACAGGTTTTCCATTCCTCGGATCATCCTAGTGGCCCTTCTTTGTACCTGTTCCAGTTTGAATTCATCCTTCTTAAACATGGGAGACCAGAACTGCCCACAGTATTCCAACTGGGGTCTCACCAATGCCGTGTATAAAGGCATTTAACCAAACAACAAAACAAAGAAAATAACTTCACATCTAACTAGACTTTCCCTATCTACTAAATGATCCGTATGTCATGGTCCAGTCCATTCCCTTACCCAGCATTCCTTGCAGCCAGGGGAGTTCTGCCCGGTTCAATTCATCTTGTGCCCCCAGCTCCTGGCTTAATTTCACCCAAGGGAAGAAACCAAGTAGGCAGGATTCCTTCCCATTCAGATCTCAGCACCTTCTCCATTGGCTCTCCTGGCTCCCTGCCGACACCCCATCCCCTGAGTTTAACCCTTAGGTCACTGAATGCTGGGAGGTTCGGAAAAGGCCAGCACTCCTCGTTGCCATGGCAGCAGTAGGGCTGTCGGGGAAAGGCCGGACAGGGGTTTGATCGGTGTGGTCAATGCACCTCTCTGAGCCACGGGATGCTGGGAGTGCAGCAGCCACGGTCTATGAGAGAGACACTTCCACGGCCAGCGGGGTTCAGCGCCAGGGCTTGTCTGACTGGACACTTAGCCTGTGCTCCCAGCTGTGGCTCTGCTGCCCATCACAAAATGCCTCCCAGTGTGCTCTAGTCTGCTCCCATCTCCGGGGGCTCACAGCACGCTGGGGCACGTCAGTCAGTGCATCGCAGCCGAGCCGCACGGACAGCGAATGCCTGGCGCCCCAGTGCCGGGACACTCCCAAAGGGCTGCTGGCAGCAGGCCATGTGGAAGGAGCCCACAAGACTCCGTTACCACCCAGAGAGCCAGGAGCAGGGGACTCTCCATTCGCCCCATGTGGGCTGGTCCATGCTGCAGTCATGTCAGCCTCACAGAGACTCACACAGTCACTAGGGTTACCCAGCGAGCAGCAGCCCTGGACTCCATTCCACAGGGACTTGCCCATCGCTGCCCAGGTCTCACGCCCCTTTTCACTTTCTATTTCTGAGAAATTAATCTTAAGCAAACACGGCATCTAGGTCTGTGACGAGCTGGCCAGTGAGAAAACGGCTCAGGTCCCAGCCCCGCCTCTCTCACGGGCTATAAATAGGGACCCAACTGGGAGACCCGGACACCAGACCCTGCAGGAGATCCCTCTGCCACCCACACGCGGCTTCCACTCCCAGTAACAATGGGGGGAATCGGCGTCTCTCTGTCCATTGTCCTGGCTCTGGTGACCCTCAGTTCTAGTGATGCTGGTTCTGGTGACCCTCAAAAGACAAAGGTACTAGTCAAGATGAGTGGCTGGCAGGCCCAGCACTGGTCTGGGGCCGGATGAGGGGCTGAGGGGCTCTGTGCTGGCTCTGGGGCAGGGTGAGGGGCTGAAGGGGCTGGGTGCTGGCTCTGGGGCAGGATTGGGTGTTGGGGGGCTGGATTCTGGCTCTCGGGCAGAGCGAGGGGCTGAGGAGGCTGGGCTCTGGCTCTAGGGCAGAGCTGGGTCTGAGAGAAATGAGTTCTGATGGAGGGGATCTAGTGACTGGGAGTTCTAGGAACCTCATTAGCCGAGTTACATGGGGTGGAGTTAGAGAAACAGAAGACTGTGGTTTGAGCCAGGGAGGAAAAGGTGGCACTGGAGTTCATGTAGCAAGCATTGCTGGAGTTCCACAGAATTATGGGAAGGTGGATGTCCAAAAGATCCCCTCTCCATTATTAAAAGAAGATACACACTGCACAAGTGCATCAAAACTCCACCCTGACGCCCGCAGCTCCCCGGGGTTCCAGGACCCAGGCCAGGCCCGTTGGCTCTGTTGGGGTCCTGGGGCCGCAGCCTCACGCCGTGCGTGGGAACACGTCTGCTCCCCTTTCAGTGTGACCTGTCCGGCCTGTGGCGGAACGAGCTGGGCTCGCTGATGGAGATACATGACGTTAACGAGGCGGGAGAATTCTCCGGCGAGTACCTCACAGCCGTGACGGCCACCAGCAACTGTATCCAGAACTCGCCCCTGAAGGGAGCCCAGCATCATACAAAGGCAGAGACGTCTCCGGTCTTCGGCTTCACTGTGAACTGGGAGTTCTCAAGTACGTGCCGTGCGCCGCGCTGGGCTGGGGGTTCCCGTCGGCGTGAGCGGGGCACGCGGAGCGATGGTTTCTTTTCTTGTCGGGACAGAAATCCTGGTGGGGAGGGTGTGGCTGGCTGCAGCCAGTGGGTTGAGGGGTAAAATCGCCTGCACACGGCCTGGCGCGCCCCTCACTGGTGCCTGTGCCCGGGTCCGCTCGCCCCCTTTCCGAGGGGCAGTAGCATCTTGGCAGGGCTCAGCAAACAGCCACAAGGAAGGTCCCAGCCCCAGGAACGCAGCCTCTCAGGCAGGGCAGGAGCAGCTTGGAGGGTGGGGTAGTGTTCGCCCATGGGCTCCGGGTGCATTTGCTCGAGGGCTCTGGGTGCGTTTGCCAGTGGGCTTTTGGTGCGTTCACTCGTGGGCTTGGGGTGTGTTCAGCACAGCGAGCTCACCCCAAACTTAACAGCTGGACACACACACACGTGCCCAGCTGACGTTTCCTTGTGCCCTAATTCAAGGGAGCTGGCCCCCGGGGACAGAGGCTGAGGCTCTCGCAATGCCCAGGGCTCTGCCCAAAGCTCCAGTTACACCCACTCACCAGCGGCTAATCTAGTGGGTCCTGGAGAGCCGAGGGGGAGAGGTTCCCAGACGGCGGCTGGTCACTGGGCAGCCCATGACAGACCCGGGGGCAGTGAGACCGGCGAGGGGCCTGGCGTGTGCGGGGGGTGGAATGAGGCCCGAGGGGGCTGCCCCAGGGCAGGGCAGAACCGTGCCGAGCTGGCTATGGTCAGTGTTAGAAAAGAAGAGGTGGCCCAGAGGCAGATGGGGTAACAGGGCCCCCGTGTTGCTGATACTCGTTCCGCCTCAGATT